CCCCCTCCCTAAATCCGTCCACTCTTCCTTCCTTCTCACGCACGCACGCACGCACACTTACTCTGTCCCTATCTCTTTGTTCCAATGCAAATTATTTAACCGTAGCACTTTGTAACGTGCATTTTTCGACGGTGCGGAAAGACACGCGCTGTTCGCGAAACTCATTAAATCCGACGGCACTTTGAGACAAACACTTTGTGCAAATCCATTTCTGTTAATACACGTTTACTCAACTCCGAGGAAAAATGTTATTTCGCTTTAATAAAAGGGGGCACTCTGCCGAATGAGAGAAATATTTCGCCCCTGGTGAAAAAAAGCTTGCTTTTAATTACGGGATTGCGACGCGTTCTTTGTTTTTTCCTCTCTACCTCGCAACGTATATTTTGCTTACTTAACTAATTTCCATAAATACTCGCGACACCGCAGGGCCATCGGAGGGACTTTAGGCTTCTCCCGTGTAAGGCTAAATTTCCAATTCAGGCAAGAGCGACGTCTTTTCTATTATCTTCGGATTCTCTCAGCGAGCGTTTGGGTCTGACGTCGCGGCGACGATATCTCGCGGAGTCGCTCCCGAGGCGATGCGATCGATATCGCGGCCTCTTGAAATTTATAAATAACTAATTCTCTTCGTTTTTCATTTACACGGTTCGTTGAGTAATTTCAGCAATTTCGCGATTACACAGCTCGCCTAGCCGCGAGATTCAAAGAACGCGACGGTGCAAAACTCCCGGCGAACTCCAACTCTCGCACAGTTTGCGATCGACATTGTGACCGCGACTGTCAAGTGTATACTTTAAGTATCTCATATTATGCTGATTTGATCATTCAGATTCCGGAGCGATACGTCGGTATTGCGCAATGTTCAGCGTGGACGCAGATTGCGCAATGCCAGACTGACACGTGCAGATAGAGAACGAGGGAAAAAGGAAGTGAGAAAAAGAGAGAGAGAGAGGATCGATCCGAGTTTAATCTCGAGTCGACGAGGGGGACCGGTTCTCCAAGGAAACGGGATGCGTCGTCGTACATACGGCTGACGGCGCATTCGAAATAGTAGCCAACCGCGTCTACGACTTGCAACTCAAATGTATGCAAATGTAGATACATATTTATTTTCCACTGTAGTTTTACGAATCGGCCCGCGTCGCTAATTGCATTCTCGTGATAATTCCGCAACAACGATTCGATTAATTCGAAAGTTGCGCGACTTGTTTACGCGCCTGTCGGTATGGTTCGAGCGATTTTTCACGCGTACGATAGTCGAGTCGCTGAGTTGTGATCTGGTTACGCTACTCCCGAGGAAGCCGACTGGTCGAAAAGTACGTGGAAGATATAACACGTTCCGTGCTCTTCGCGCGGCTTTTGAGATCAGGGACGAGTGTTTTCGTGATGTCATTAGACAACATTTTTCTAATCGCAAACATGCAATACCGGTGGTGTTTCTCGATTAAAATTAAGTGGACAGTGGTATCTCGACCGTGTCGCTGGCGTCGTAAACTCGCGACGCACACGCGATCCGTTCGCAAACAAGCGGCGTCCTCGTCTTCCTCATCGCTGACGTCGTCGGTGTGGTCGGCGGCGTGGCTGTCAGTCGTGTGTACACAGTGTGTTAAAGGCGTTATTTACAATGCTCCATTATACCCGAGCGTTTCGTGACGTGCGCGAGCGATGCGTATGCGCGCACGTAACGCGATAATACGCATAATTACAACAAACGATCGTCCGTGATCGCTATTAAGCGGATATAAATGTCGCATTGTTCATTACGCGTCCCGATGCTTATCCGTTTTACAGGGTGGACACGCGCACAGAAATTGCCGAGGCACGATCGTACGTAGCGCGTCTTACGAGACAGCCAGTTTACCGCGGTGCTTGGGAGAAACGGGAAGTAAATTAGTATAGAAAAAAAGAGCGCAAGAGATAAGGCCGTGAGAACCCCCGAAGTTCGCCCACGCCGATCGGTTTGGGGGTCAATCGATTTTCGACTTGGAGGCGGTCCAAACGTTCGTGACACGGCGGAAGCCGTTCTTCTGTATAAGCGATGCCTCTCGCGGGTTTTCGCGTTCTATCGAGCGAACCGGCGGAAGCTGCGGATAAAAGAACGAGAACTCGATTTTGTCGAGCACCGCCAGGTTCGCACCCCGGAGCGCTCCCCGATCTACACGGTGTCTCGGAAGACAAGAACTCGGTGAATTTCGAGAAATACAACAGCCCAAAGATACACGAAGTGCGGCGTATTGTTATTAAGCGTTTGCAAAGGTTCATCGTCGACGATTTTATTAACTCCAAAGATGAGTCATTTTAGAAATGCTAAATCAGAAGATTACTCGGGAGGGTGTCCTTCGGCGGCATATGCCAAGGTCAAAGTTGTCGATGCTGCGATTGTTAAAACGGGGAATTACCGTGAAAATACTACCGTTTGGAGCCAGAAGGGTAAATATTAGCTTAAAGCGTAGAGTATATTTTTAATTTCAGAGATTCACTCTTCAATTTCGATTGAAAGTATTCATTCCGACGGTTCAGAGTGGAGAACTCATCCCCGTGTGAATGAAAACTTCGCTGTCACTTCACTTTCGGAGTGTAATTTCACTCGAAGAAATTTCGAGAGTATCGTTACTGACTTTTGTCATGATACGACGAATTTTTGAGAGCGTCTAATAATGATATCTACGGACCAAAAGTTCCTGTGGAGATACTTCGAGAAGTTCTCCAAATCGAATATACTTGGAAGGCGCAGTAACATATTCCTACGAAACGATTCTCAGGGGCGGCTCACGTTTCCCGTTGTGTTATCACCCCCAAGAAAGGGGTTTTAAGGAGCAGCCGAGAACGCCTGGAGGTCGTCTCTTTCTCTCTTCCTCTCCTCCCCTTCCTTCGTGTAGGTACTCCGACAGGGAGAGTCCGAAGATCGTAGATCTCGCTTTTGGCTTGATTACGCGATAAAACACGCCGTGAACGAAAGGACGAATACCTTCGTCGGCGAGGTCGAGAGCCATGAATAAAGCAGCGAAACGACTGCCCGAATCGAATTTCCTGCCCGAGCTACGTTTGTTTATCGCGCGTCGTCTCGGGCCGTCGGTTAGTCCACTAAAATCAAGCCGGTATAAAAGGTCAATATTCATTTCATCACGTATTTTTCTCCCTCCTACCGCGAGACATCGACCAATCGATAACGCGTCGTAAATCGCGCATCGAGCACGCGTGTGATCTCTCGAAGGATTTACGACCGAAATTAAATACTTGAAATTTCGCATGTCGTTATATATTTTAATTGCTTTCCTTTTATATTTCTTCGCTGTTTCTTGCTCTCCTGTGCAATAAATACCGAAGAAACATTTGGGATTGGTTGCGCTTAGACTTTTCCTCGGTAACGTACCGTCGCCGAAAATCGAAGCTGTTTCCGACTCGATACTCGCGCGCGCAGGGTTGTCTGATCGCCCGAGTTTAATTGAATCTGCCTGCGCGACGAGGGGCGCGATAGAGCCCGCGCTCGTATTTCGACGGGGATCACATTAGTCCGGGGAGACATCGAACTCTTGGGATGCCGCTGGTTCTTTCGTAAAACGCCGAAGTTAGTGAAATGGCAAAATTAATCATGCGCAATGAGTCAATTTTTCATCGACCGATTTTACCATGTCACAAAAATACGTGAGATACGATTATAATAATAATTTAATTATATAATACCATATAAATATATTATACGTGAGACAGATACATATTTCGTGCTTCATTAATCCATTTAATATTCATTAATTAAATATCCGGCGCAGATTAAACGCAAAAGAGTGTTTTAATGTTTGCACGTGGTGCTAAAAATGTACGTATTAAACGCGTATTAAAACGCGCGCGGATATTCCGCTTCGTCATCTTCGTGTGAATTTGCCAGTGAAACGTGAGAAGCTTATTGTACTCTGTCAAAACTCACGAGTGGGTGACGGGAGGGGCGGAGGAGAGTGCAAATGCCATTCGTCTGGCAAACAAATTCCGCCGACGGACGAGCTTATGGGCGACCACTATGTAACTTGAATCCGTGTAAAGTTCGAGGATTCATACCGCGCCGTCTACTTTTGCCTCAATGTTGAAAATGCAGGTCGCGTGGGCGTTACGGAGGATGAGGAAAAATCGCGACCGCGCGTCATCATTACCGCCGTCTTCACCGCTCGCTTTTTGCGCTTTGCACTTTAAACCTCAACGCTTTGTAATCGTGCCGATCGCGTTCTCGTCGCGATTTTTCCCACTTGACTCCGTGTCGTCCGTCGGCGCCGGTTAGTCGTAATTAATCCTCTCTCCGTTTCCACGAGAAACGTAATTGAGATATTTCTCCGCCCACTAACACACCCACACGGTTACGTCGACGCGGCGCGCTTATCATTCGGAGCCTCCTTGTATTCGTAATCCCGAGGCTCTCTCTTGAATTCGCCGGTTTATTAAAATTCTCCTTCTCCCACGAGCTCTATCTTGCCGTGGCGTTGCATTACGCGACGCTATTTCGCGCGAGTCACGAGGGTAGCGTAATAATCCAACGATAGCGCATTACAACCGCTATTTATTCGCGATTCTTTCTCTCCCTCCCACCCGCCGGTTCGACCTCCTCCGTCCTTCCTTCCTGAGTGTCATGCAACTCATATCCGTCGTATTATGTCGCGCATTCTGCAGTTCGCACAGTCTGTCTATGCGTTTTCTTCGTCACGTTTCATTTCGCCTGTCGTTTCGCTGTTGCAGATAGAGAAGGGAACCGGCCGCGTGTGGACGTCTCGCTTCCGCATTAGTAACGTGAGTACAATTTCCTACCGACTAATTTTTCTTGCTGAACTCTGGTTAAGCGTTCGGGAGGAGTGGCGGGAAGGAGAAAGGTGAGAAGAGTAACGAGCCGCGATAAATAATAATAACGGGCGAGAAAGACCGGCGAAAAGTTTACGGCGAGCGAAAAAACTCAATCAAAGTTACTCCCGAGCGAAACCCGACCCGAACGTAGCCTCTGTGTGAGCTCTTTCGCACTGAATATTGGAAATCGCGGCTCCGCTGCCACCTGGGGACCCTTCCGTCCCTTTTCGCGTTTTTCATACAATCTTTTCGGCGTTATGCTTATAAATCGCGGTCGGTGAGCGTGAGGTTCCGTGAAGAAAGGACTCGTCGCTACGAGGAAAGGGACGATTCATACGAACTCCTCCATAAGAATCCAATCTCCGAAATGGCACGGCAAAGTTCGAGCGATCGCAACGAATGCTTTCTTAATATCTGTCCGTCGGGACAAGGAACTTTCCGTCGTTCTTCTTTCCCTTTTCTCCTCCTTTTCTTGCTCTCTCTCTCTCTCTTTTCTTCTTCTTCCGCGTCTCACCCTCCTGACCGACGAAAGTTCCCTCTAACGGAAGAAATCCAGGCCCGATCGTACCGGGCAGTGGCGACCGGTTTTCTCGAATCCGTTCGCTGCCAATTCCGCGCGGACTCTCCGTTCTGATAGAAATCACCCCGTANGGGGGGGGGGGGGGACGAAAAATAGCTCGGTCGCGCGCGGTGACGCGGCGAACGAGCGGTTAATTTGTCGTCGAACGCGGAGAAATAGGCGAGGCAATCGCGGGGAAGCAGTTTTTCGCGGTTTATTCCTTCGCTTTTTATCCTCGGAGCGGTTCACAGAAGAAAGAACGACGGGGATCGCGTGGCGAATCGCGAACTCATTTGACGCGCATGACTCACGATCCGTCCCGGCCTCGCGGAACGGTTCGCATGCGAAATTTCACACGCGCGCATTCATTGTCAAGGAGTCCCTCTTAATCTAAGCCCGCGCACGTAATTAGCGGGCTCGAGCCCGGTGCGAAACAGATGGTTCTCTCTGTTGCCGCGGCCGTTGGCGCAGCAAATTGAAACGCTCGTCGAAGCGTCGTTCGACAAAACGCGCCGTTCGCTTCTATTGTGTTGTTTTGTGTGTCAGGTGCGCGCGAGGTATTTCCCGTATCTCGCCGTAAGCGACGTCGCGTTTCGTTGTTCCGCGTCCGAAGATTCGAGGTAGTTTTTGCCCGCGCGAAAGCACAAATCTGGAGATTAAAGCGCGCGCGCACGGTACTCGTCGCTCGGACTTTAGCGGTTCAACGAGTTTCGTAAAATGAGGATCGCTCTCGGCGCCGGTGGAATTTTTAGAAACGCGTAAGCCGCTTTGGAAAACTCCGTTCTTTTGCTTCCTCGTGACTACCTGCATCGGCGAGTCGTCCGTGATGAAAATACTTCGTGCGCGAACGTCGTGACGCTTCTCGCGACTTGTCCGAGATATTTTGCGAATATATCTTGAGATTCGCGGTAAATTTTACTGAGACGTTTTTGGAGCAATTCAGGTACCGTTTATCCTCTGCAAACACGTCGATGCATCGAGAGTTCTCGAAGTAGAAGCGATCGAAGAAGCAGGACCTTCCGCGAAAACTTCGGCTGACCAAATGAATAACATAATTATTTTCTCCAATCAATTTCACGCGGATCCTTAACACGCAATCTGACGCTTAGCTACAAAAATATGTTATGTCGAAAATTGAGAAGTCGATATAAATAATAACATCCTTCGGTATTTCCGCTGGGGAAAAATTGTCTCCGGATTGCTCGGAGAAACTACCCTTCGGTAAATTTAAACGCACGAGTTCTGAGGTCACCTCGTGTAAGCGAGCCCCGTGACGCGCTTTTTTGAGATTCGTTCCTCCAGCCGCCTCGGTAGCTTTTAATTCGATCGCGCGAGTTACCCGCAAGTTACACGGTCGTTTCTCGAGACAACAATCGCGGCGCGTTCTCTCGAGCGTAAAGAACTTGCGTGCCCGCCTCGCGAACGTACGCAAAGAGATGTCTTATCTACCGCGGTCAGCGATGAGGACAGTGAGCATTTTTTTTTTCATGACATACTCACGAAAAGCAGCGTTATACATATTGCAGTGACGGGGTAATCGGTGGTGCGACTTTGCATGCGCTCTCAGCGAGCGCAATTGTCGTGACAACATTCGGGCGAATATGTGCAATTTACGATAATGTCGCGTCGCACGGCGCGCTGCCTGTAACTGTCCCTTCACGTGCGCTCGAGTTGTTACAATTATCCGACTTTATGGAATCGCTCTCCGCGTTAGCCGAGAGTCCTTTGGAACCGCTCGCGCTACGGTTTAGTAAATTATAATTACGTAATTGTGGATTCACATGGAAATCTCGACGATATTTGCGTGAAATTTCGAAATTTTCTTTTCTCTATATAAATTACTTTGTATAGTTTCTAGTATTGACATAACAAATATTCTAAAGTGCTCGTGTGAATTTTCATGTAAATTTTGTACCAGAATCTTCAGAGCATTTTATATGAAATTTTACACGGAGGACCTGTAGATTTGATTTTGCCCCGGAGAAGAATTCCCCACAAGAATAAGTCGCGCCTCACGAGTCCTTCTTTCCAGAGGCCTTTTCCGAGACGTCACTTTCGATTCATTCCGTGTATCTATCGGTACGGAAAATTCTCGATCGCCGGTGGAAATTAACGTTTCCCACGCGCTAATGCCGCCGTGCGCGGAAAACCGCCCGTCAACCGCGCAACCACACGTGCTCGGGGATTAACCCGAGCGGAGAAACTTCGCAGTCGAATCGTTTTCCGAGAAGGAAAACCACCGGTCGTGCACTACGCGAGTACAATGACGAACCATTACCTTCGAGAATGCGGCTCCTACGGGTCGCCGCACCGCGCACGAATGTACGCGCGAAACACACACATGCATATGTACACACTCACGGCTCACCGATGAGTCGTAATTCATAAATAATTTATGCCGACGGTATGTGTGTGTATGTGTTAGCGCGGCGGTCACGCGATCTCAATCGTGTCATCCGCTTTTTGCCTCGATATAGCGGACCCCCCATTTCGCGAATCCATCGACGATGATATCGCGGCTGTTAATTTGCAATTTTAGAAGGACACGCGACACAGCTAATTAATCGAGACGCGCATCTATTTACGTACGCGAGATTGGCCTACTTGAGTAAAATTATACAGATATATGAGGCTGAAAAATGTGTGTCTCGTTTGTTCTTTGGCGAAACTAGGTCTTCTCCTGCGGTCCTTTTCTCCAAAAGTCTCTTCCGCCTTTTCCTCCCTTTCTTTTCAATCATTACTGTACATTTATTAGTTTAAATTTCTGAATTATTCCCAACATTTTTGTAAATTATATTTTCAAAATAAATCGAAAGTCCATTGCTTCCGCAAGGACCTTGAATTCGCGAAACGGTTTCTCGCAGTTCTCGTAAAGTCGGAGAAAAAATGAGCTCAAAGAGGAACTCGGGGGCTGTTGGTTCATACGTTAGATTGAAATATGTAGAACAAAACGCGCGCTGTCTCGCTTGAACGCTAGACCAACCGCGGGTTGAACAATTTCAACCCTTTCCGCGGTGCGCACACGACGGGGTGCCGTCGCGCCACCCGCGGTGATATCACGGCGCTCGCGTCCAGCAATTAGCCCTTGAAATATGACGGACCGCGCCGGTGGCGGACGTTCCACGGTCATTCGTGAAATTGAACATTCGATCGCCGCGATAAAACAGTGATCGCCACGCACTTCGAAATACGAAAAAAGGAGCGATCCAAGCCGGCGAGCGCAGCGCAGCGCTCGGACGGCCGGCGGTGGTGCGATTCGCGTTTTGGCCGGCAGCCAAATTGCGATCCGCGCACGAATCGAGCCGCTGTTTATGCCTCGATAGCGGTAAAACCGGGGAAGCACGGGTTTACGGTGTAACGTGCCGCTCGTCGAGTCCTCGTAAACTACTCTCATTCCTCCGCAGGTATTCGAGATAAGAGCTTCGCCGGCCGACCTCGCGGAGAGATACGCACCGGCTAATCGCTTTCGCTATTTTACCGGCTCGTAGTTTGCGTGTCGCATGTCACGTATCGCGGATTACGTTAATAACGGTTAACGAGAATGTGTTAATTGTATTTCCCTCTTTCTTTCATTATTCTTCAATCCCTCTGCGAGAATAATGCACCCTTGCTAATTATAATTACGCATGGAAATATACCTTCGGAACATTAGTTTAATATTAGGAAAGGAAGTGGTAGGGAAAGGGAGAGAAAGAGAGAGGGAGAAGAGAGAGTCAGCGATCCTACCAGTTATAAAGCTTTCGCCACTTTTTACATTTCTCATCCCGCACTTTTATCCTCCGTTCGTTCGTGCGCTACAACGTTCCGCCTTCTCCTCTGCTTCCGCTTTTCCCTCAATTTTCCGCGCCCGGAGAAGTGCCGTTTTATTTCGCGAAGACAACGCACCGACGAGCTTTTCAACGGTATCTTTCTCGCGCGCAAAAAAAAAAGAAAAAGAACCGCGCACGGGAGTAGTGAATGCCGCGAGAGCCGTCGGCTGATCTACAGGGTTCGCGCGCCGTTTTCGCGGATTACCTCTGCATTCTAATGTCGCGAGCGAGTCGCAGGTCCGTGCGAGACGGACGAGAAATACGGATACCTACATCCGCGTATCCACCTACCTACATGTCGTATTTATGAGGCGCCTTTCATTGCGACGACCGTCTCCCTCGGGATCGCGCGCACACGCATACACACGTACGTGCGTACTATGTACAGCGCAACACGTCCCGGGAAACAAATGGCACGTCCCTACGTGCAGCCGCACGCACGCGAGTTAATCCAATCCGCCGGTAACTCTATTCTCCCGAGAGAGCAGCCCGGCGACCTCCTCGAACTAATTGCCGGATGACCCCTTCTGGCAGCTTCTTCGCGTTCTGCCGGAGGAGATCGTGGAAATGCACCCGTCTGT